CTTGCACTTTAGTGTCTGTGAGTCCATGTAAGTCCCGATTACATCAGTGGGCCGTGTTCTCTGTCCTTCACCCCCCAGACTCTTATAATCTTTCCTCCCCCTCTTCTGTGGGGTTCTTTGAGAGGAGGAACCCATTAGACACTTCCTATTTCGACTCTCAGCATAATGTCTGGCTATGGATCTCTGCATCTGCTCCCATCTTTAGCTGAGCAGAGGAAGCCTCTCTGGCACTGATTTGTGAGTATAGCAGAATGTTATTACAAATCATTTCACTGATTTTTTTTTTTGAGGGCAAGTCCTATTTGGTTCTACCCTAGGTCTCTGTGTTCTTGGACATCCAGGCAATATGGGGCATGGGCTCCCTTTTGTGGCACGGGCCTCAAGTTAAACCAGATATTGGTTGGCCACTCCCACAAGTTCTGTTCCACCATTGCCCCAGCACATCTTGCTGGCAGGAAAGATTGTAGGTCAAGGGTTTTATGGTTGGGTTGGTGTCCAGGTTTCTCCTTCTGCAACCTGCAGAGTACCTTTCCATACCAAGGAGTCTAGAACATGGGGGTAAAGGTTCCATACAGGCATCAGCTCGACCTCTCTACTTTCAATGAGCAGTGTGGATGTTGTCCTCAGCAATGGGATCTCCGCTGGCAGTTTTCAGAGAGCAGCCCTCTATCCTAGCATCAGCCTGCATTGTTTAGGGATCCTCATGGGATTACCTAGGCCAACAACTCAACCGGATGTAACCCAGTCCCTCCCTAGAATCCTTGTCTGGCTACAAAAAGATGGCCAGTTCTGATTCCATATCTTCCATTACCAGGGTCCTCACTAGGGTTATCCCCATAGTTTCCAGGAAGTTTCCACACACCCCCAAGTGCCTCCCACCAATTCTACCTGTCTTTCCCCATACTCTCTCCTTCCTCCCCGCCCCACCAACCTGATCCTTCCTTCTCCCAGTCTACTGCAAAATCTATTCTATTTCCCCTTCCCAGGGAGATTCATGCATCCCACCTAGAGGCCTCCTCTTAACCTAACCTCTCTGGGTCTGTGGATTATGGCTTGATCATCATTTACTTAATAGCTAAGTTCCACTCATAAGTGAATACATACCGTATTTCTGGGTCTGGGTTACCTCACTCAGGATGATTTTTTTTTCTCCTTCTATCCATTTGCCTGCAAATTTCATGTTGTTATTTTTTTAACACCTGAGTAATACTCTCTTGTGTAAATGTACCACACTTTCTTTATCCATTCTTCAGTTGAGGGACATCTAGGTTGTTTCCAGTTTCTGGTTATTATAAATAAAACCACTATGAACATAGTTGAGCAAATGTCCTTGTAGTAGAGTGGAGCATCCTTTGGGTATATGCCTGTCTCAGAGTTTCTTTTGCTGTGAAGAGACACCATGACCACGGCAGGCAACTCATACAAAGGAAAAACATGTAATTGGGGTGGCTTACATTTTCAGAGATTCAGTTCATTATCATCATGGTTTGACATGGTGACATGCAGGCAGATAGAGTGCTGGAGAAGTAGCAGGAAGTGGCCTGTCTCACTGCATGGAGCTTGAGCATATATAAAACCTCAGAGTCTTCCCTCACAGTGACACACTTCTCCCATCAAAGCCAAATGCAATCCAACAAAGTCACACCTTCTAACAGTGCCACTCCCTTTGGGGCCATTTTCTTTCAAAACAACACAATGCCCAAGAGTGGTATAGCTGAGTCTTGAGGTAGATCGATTCCCAATTTTCTGAGGAACCGCCATAATGATTTCTATAGTGGTTGTACAAGTTTGCACTTCCACCAGCAATGGAGGAGTGTTCCCCTTGTTCCACATCCTTACCAGCATGAGCTGTCACTTGTGTTATTGGTCTTAGCCATTCTGATAGGTGTAAGATGGAATCTCAAAGTAGTTTTGATTTGCGTTTCCCTGATGCCTAGGGATGTTGAATATTTAAGTGTTTCTGAGCCATTTAAGATTCTTCTTTTGAGACTTTTCTGTTTAGATCTGAACCCCATTGTTAAATTGGATTGTTTGGTTTGTTGATGTCTAGTTTCTTGAGTTCTTTTTCTATTTTGGATATTAGTTCTCTCGGATGTGGAGTTGATGAAAGTCTTTTCCCATTCTGTAGGCTGCTGTTTTGTCTATTGTCTGTATCCTTTGCCTTACAGAAGCATTTCAGTTTCATGAGGTCCTATTTATTAATTGATGATCTTAGTGCTTGCACTATCAGTGTTCTGTTTAGAAAGTTGTCTCCTGTGCCAATGTGTTCAAGGCTATCCTCCACTTTATCATCTACTAGGTTCAGTGTATCTGGTTTTCTGTTGATTGACTTGAACTTGAATTTTGTGCAGGATGATAAGTATGAATCTATTTGCCTTCTTCTACATGTAGACATCTAATTACACCAGCACCATTTATTAAAGATGCTTTCTTTTTTTCTGTTGTGTATTTCTGGTTTCTTTATAAAAAATCAGGTGAATTTACATCTAGGTCTTCAATTCAATTCCATTAATCAATGTGCCCATTTTTATGCCAATACCATGTGGTTTTTATTGCTATAGCTCTGTAGCACAACTTGAAATCAGGGATGGTGATGCCTCTGGAAGTTCTTTTATTGTTCAGAATTGTCTTATCTATCTTGGGTTTTTTGTTTGTTTTTTTTTTTCCAATATGAAGTTGAGAATTGTCCTTTCCAAGGTCTGTAAAGAATTGTGTTGGGATTTTGATGGGGATTGTGTTGAATCTGTAGATTGCTTTAGGTAGGATGGCTGTTTTTACTATGTTAATCTTACTGATCTATGAGCATGGGAGATCTTTCCATCTTCAGATGATTCTGAATTCTAAGCAAACACAACTCAGGCAAATCTCTTATATTATCAATAAGGCTGTTCACATTTGCTATGGTATGATGGGTTATACTTCTACGCAATTCTGTCTGGGGTGCAAAGAAACAAGACTGACACTGACTTACATTTAGCAGTGAGGACCTAAAGCAAAATCTACATAAGATGCAAAGGCAGGCTGTTATGAACGTCCTACATGAGGTCAGAAATGACTAGGTATTCATGGTTTAAACACAGTAGAGCAGCAGCAAAGCTCTTTTCCTGGTTCAGTGAATAGCTTAGTGGTCCAGGAATGTACTCTTTTTGCATTAAGATGTCATCTGTGGAGAGACTTAGGGGATGGCTCAGTCGGTAAAGTGCTTGCCTTGCAGGCACAAGAAATTGAGATATAGAGCAAAGGATAATCAGGCTACACCCCACAGCTCCAGAGAAGCTAGGAAAGAAGGAGGACCCTAAGAGGGACGTAAGGATCACCTTGGGATGGGGAAACAGAGGAGATCTCCATGAGTAAACTGGGGATGGGGGGACAATAGAGGGGAGGGAATGGGGGATGAGAACATGAAGGAATGGCGTGGTCGAGCTAGGGGAGGGATGGAGTGGGAGAGCAATGAAACAGATATCTTGATAGAGGGAGACTTTATGGGGTCAGGGGTGCTAGGGAAACTCCCAGGAATGCATAAGGATGACCCCACCTCAGATTAGACTACTAGCAATAGTGGCGAAGGTGCCTGAAATGACCTACTCTGGTAATCAGATTGGTGAATACTCTGTCATCATAGAGCCTTCATCCAGGAACTGATGGAAGCAGATGCAGAGATCCACAACCAAGCACCAGGCTGAGCTCCAGGAGTCCAGTTGAAGAGAGGGAAGGGGATTATATGAGCAAGGGGGGGGGGTCAAGATCATGATGAGGAAATCTACAGAGACAAGTGAACCAAGCTCACAGGAACTCATGAACATTAGACTGACAGCTGTAGAATCTGCATGGGACCAGACTAGACCCTCTGCATATGGGAGACAGTTGTGTAGCTTGGTCTGTTTGAGGGGCCCCTGGCAGTGTGATCAGGATCTATCCCTGGTGCATGAGCCGGCTTTCTGGATCCCATTATCTATGGTTGGACACCTTGCTCACCCTTGATGCAGTGGGGAGGGGTTTGGTCCTGCCTCAACTGAATGTACCAGGCTTAGCTCTCTCCCCATGGGAGAACTTACCCTTTTGGAGGATGAGATGAGGAGTGGGTTGTGGGGGGAAGGTAAGGGTGGGGGGAGCAGGAGGAGGGATGAGAGGGGGATCTGTGGTTGGTATGTAAAATGAATAAAAACAATTAAAATAAATAAAAAGAAATTGAGCTCAATTTCTAGTACCTGAGAGGTGGGAGCATGGGAGGGGGAGAATGAGGGTGCACACTCTGTGCTGGGGAGACAGAGACAAGCTGATGCCTGTGGCTCACTAGCCAGCTAGCCTAGCCTACTAGGGGATTTAAAGCTAATGCCTCTATCACAAAATCAAAGATGAACAGTGCCTGAGAAATGACACCTGAAGTTATTCTCTGGTCTTCACATATATACATGTACCACACACAGGCACACACATACATGCACACGCACACTCACACGGCTCAGGGACCATCTTGGAAGAGGAGGCAAAGGGCTTGTTAAGAGCTATAAACCACAGAGGAGCAGCATGAAATAGTGTCTTTGTGTCTTCAGGACAAGCCGGGGCTACTGGCCTCAGAAACTCACAGTTCCTATGTTTTCCTGCACAAGATGCACACAAGATAAAGCCAATCAACATTCTAGCATGGAAGAGGCTGGGGCGAGGCAACTCAGGAGTCTCCATCCCTAACTGAGGGGCTATTGACGGGCAAGGAGAATCCGTTTTTCTTTAAGAGTATAGCCCTAGGTAGATCAATCACACTCCAGTGGGTGGCCTCACACCTGTGAGTATAAGGGCAACACAAAATAGACTTCTCTGGTTATTGAAATAAATAGAACACAGAAATGAAATTGGGATAAGGAAATGAGGGTGGATCCAAAAGGAGTTAGGGGAAAAGTGGGTGGTGAATATGATCAAAATATATTGTATGAAACTCTCAAAGAATAAAATACCATTACAAACACAAAAAGAAAGATGTTTCTACAGAGTCAGGTACTTACTGCTTGTCCATAATTCCTGTATGACACAGAGCGGAAGTAAGCCAACTCCACTATTGTCAGGCTGGCTGCAATGAGCACAACCATGATGCAGAGCATGTTCAGGGACAGAGTACAGACAACCTGAAAAGGAGACATGGAGGAAACTTACAACATTCAGAGTAAGTGCTTTTAATTTTTTTTTTTTATGTTTTTGTTGTTACTTTGTTTTACTAGAAAACAATTGAGTTAAAATTTCCTTATAGTTTGGGGAGCTTTCAAAATGTGTTTCTTATGGTGATATTTTAATTGTACTGAAATGTGATTTTATTTGTATGTTAATAAATAAAGTTGCCTGGGGGTCAGAGCTAATAGCAGGCCATAGCAGAAACTGGACGGTGGTGGTGCATGCCTTTAATCCCAGCTCTTGGGAGGCAGAGCTAGGTGGATCTCTATGTGTTCAAGGATACAGCCAGCATGGAGACACATGCCTTTAATCTCAATACCAACCATAGAAGACCTGGAGGTCTGTACAGACAGGCAGTGTCAACGAGGTCATGTGGTTGGGTTTACAACCAATGAGAAGCCAGAATAGAAAGTCTATAAAAAAGGCAGACAGGAAATAGGTCTCTTGCTGAGGCAGATAGCAGGGGCAGTGAAGGGTAAGGTTTTTAGCTCTTAGCTATCGCTCTGACCTCTTGGGCTTTCATCTTTGCCTTGGCTCTGTGTTTCTTATTTAATAAGATGGTTACATCTCCAGTTTCTGCTTGCCATTTCCTGGTTTACATGAAATCTAGTTAGTTTAGAGGAAACATGAATCCATTATCAGACACTGTCAAGTTTTGAATTCCATCAATGCTCAAAACTTTTGTATTTTATAATCTTGTGAGTCAGTTATAAGAAAGATCATGATGTTTGACTTAAATACTTAAAAAATAAGGAAATTCTTCATCCCAGGGATGCAAGAATGGTTCAACATACAAAAGTCTGTCAATGCAATACACCATATAAACAAACTGAAAGAAAAAAAAAACCACATGATCATCTCACTAGATGCTGAAAAGGCCTTTGACAAAATCCAACACCCCTTCATGATAAAGGTCTTGGAGAAATCAGGAACACAGGGAACATACCTAAATATAATAAAGGCAATTTACAGCAAGCCAACAGCCAACATCAAAGTAAATGGAGAGAAACTCAAAGTGATTCCACTAAAATCAGGAACAAGACAAAGCTGTCTGCTCTCCCCATACTTATTCAATGTAGTACATGAAGTTCTAGCCAGAGCAATAAGGCAATATAAGGAAACCAAGGGAATACAAATTGGAAAGGAAGAAGTCAAGCTTTCACTATTTGCAGATGACATGATAGTATATATAAGTGACCCCAAAAATTTGACCAAGGAACTCATACAGCTTATAAACACCTTCAGCAATGTAGCAGGATACAAGATTAACTAAAAAAAAATCAGTACCCCTCCTATATACAAATGACAAATGGGCTAAGAAAGAAATCAGAGATACATCATCTTTTACAATAGACACAAATAATATAAAATACCTTGGGGTAACTTTAACTAAGCAAGTGATGGACCTGTATGACAAGAACTTTAAGTTCCTGAAGAAAGAAATTGAAGAAGATGTCAGAAAATGGAAAGATCTCCCATGCTCATGGATAGCTAGGATTAACATAGTAAAAATGACAATCTTACCAAAAGCAGTCTATAGATTCAATGCAATCCCCATCAAAATCCCAATACAGTTTTTCACAGATCTGGAAAGAACAATACTCAACTTCATATGGAAAAACAAAAAACCCAGGATAGCTAAAAGAATCCTGTACAAATAAAACAACCTCTGGAGGCATCGCGATCCCTGACTTTAAGCTCTACTACAGAGCTACAGTAATAAAAAACAGCTTGGTACAGGCATAAAAACTGACATGTGGACCAATGGAACTGAACTGAAGACCCTGACATTAATCCACACACCTATGAACATATGATTTTTGACAAAGAAGCCAAAACTGTACAATGGAAAATAGAAAGCATATTTAACAAATGGTGCTGGCATAACTGGATATCAACATGTAGAAGACTGAAAATAGATCCATATCTGTCACCATGCACAAAACTTAAGTCCCAGTGGATCAAAGACCTCAAAATAAATCCAGCTACTTTGAACCCGATAGAAGGGAAAGTAGGAAGTAGTCTTGAACGCATTGGCACTGGAGATTACTTCCTAAATATAACACCAGTAGCACAGACACTGAGAGAAACAATTAATAAATGGACCTCTTGAAACTGAGAAGCTTTTGTAGAGCAAAGGACATAGTCAACAAGACAAAAGGACAGCCTACAGAATGGGAAAAGATCTTCGCCAACTCCACATCTGACAGAGGGCTGGTATCCAGAATATATAAAGAACTCAATAAATTAGACATTAAAATATCCAACAGTCCAATTAAAAAATGGGCTATAGAGCTAAACAGAGAATTCTCAACAGAAGAAGCTCAAATGGCTGAAAGACATTTAAGGAATTGCTCAACATCCTTAGTCACCAGGGAAATGCAAATCAAAATGACTCTGAGATACCACCTTACACCTGTCAGAATGGCTAAGATAAAAAACACTGAAGACAGCTTATGTTGGAGAGGATGTGGAGTAAGGGGAACATTCCTCCACTGTTGGTGGGAATGAAAACTTGTACAGTCACTTTGGAAATCAATATGGCACTTTCTTAGAAAATTGGGAATCAACCTCCCTCAAGACCCAGCTATACCACTCTTGGGCATATACCCAAGGAATGCTCAATCTTACCACAAGGCCACATGCTCAACTATGTTCATAGCAGCATTATTTGTAATATCCAGAACCTGGAAACAACCTAGATGTGCTTCAACTGAAGAATGGATAAATAAAACATGGTACATATACACAATAGAGTACTACTCAGCAGAGAAAAACAATGACATCATGAGGTTTGCAGGCAAATGGATGGAACTAGAAAGTATCATCCTGAGTGATGTAACCCAGACTCAGAAAGACAAACATGGTATGTACTCACTCATAAGTGGATACTAGATGTAAAGCAAAGGATAACCAGACTGCAACTCACAACTCCAGGGAGGCTACCTAGTAAAGAGGACCCTAGGAAAGACACAGGGATCACCCAGTGACAGAGAAATGGATGATATCTACATGAGCAAACTGGGGGTAAAGAGGGGGAGTAATGGAGGGCAAGGGTTGGGGAGAAAAGAGCTTAGGGGAGCGGGAGATCCCAGCTGGATCTGGAACAGAGTGTGAAAACAAGGAAAGAGATACCATGATAAATGAAGACCCCATGGGAATATGAAGAAGCAGAGTCCTGGAGAGGTCCCCAGAAATCCACAAAGATGCCTCCACTATAGACTACTGGCAATGGTCGAGAGAATGCCCGAGCTGACCTACTCTGGTGATCAGATGGCTGAACACCCTTACTGTCACAATAGAACTCTCATCCAGTGACTGATGGAAGCAGATGCAGAGATCCACGGCCAAGCCCCAGGTGGAGTTCCAGGAGTCCAATTGGCGAGAGAGAGGAGGGATGATATGAGCAAGAGATATTGAGACCAAGATTGGAAAAAGCACAGGGACAAATAGCCAAACTAGTGGAAACACATGAACTATGAACCAATAGCTGAGGAACCCCCAACTAGATCAGGCCCTCTGGATAAGTGAGACAGTTGATTTAGCTTGAACTGTTTGGGAGGCCCCCAGGCAGTAGGACCAGGACCTGTCCTTGGTGCATGAGCTGGCTTTTTGGAACCTAGGGCCAATGATGAGACACTTTGCTCAGCCTTGGTGTAGTGAGGAGGGGACTGGACCTGCCTCAATTGAATCTACCAGGCTGGGCTGACTCCCCAGGGGAGACCTTGCCTTGGAGGAGGTGGGAATGGGGGATAGATTGGGGGGGGAGAACTGGGGAGTGGGAGGAGGGAAGACAGGGGAATCCATGGCTGATATGTAAAATTAAATTAATTATAAAATAAAAATATTTTTAAAAAATAAGAAAATTGATGGGAAATGGTGACTGTTTGCAGAAATAAAGTCAAATAGGAGCTAATATGTTTGAATCCTGGGTTTTTATTAGCTGGGACCATCTGTCAACATGTTTGTATATACATCATAATTTGATTTTTAATTTTGAAAATTTGAGACTTTATTTTATGTTTATGGGTGTTTTGTCTAGATGCATGTCAGTGTATCACATACATGCGGTGCTCATGGTGGACAGAAGAGAATGCCAGACCCTCTTGGACTTGAGTTAAGGATGGCTATGAGCCACTATGTTAGTGCTGGGATTTGAACCTGAGTCCTCTGTAAGAGCGGCAAGTGCTCTTAACTCCTGAGCCATCTATCATTCCCAGATTTCTTGATGTGTAAACATTTAAAATTAGATTAATCTATTTCTAAGCTTTCTTTCAGATCTAAAATTCTGACATTTTTATTTCTAGACATTTTCCACCTACACCATGGATAGATTTTTTTTCTTGGAAAATTCCCTACTTTGATACAAGGTACAACCCTATTCCCAAAGTGGGTAGACTAGAAAATGAAGTATTAAAGCACAGTAACGATCACATAGAAGAAAGATTTTAGATCCTGCAAACAACTTTTAATCACAGTATTCATGCAATGTTAAGGGTTGAACATCCAAACAAAAATATTTAAATTTAGATGTTTTAGCAGAAGTTAACAATCATGATTGTTAACTAATGTATCTGGTCTACATTAAGTAATTTGATCTCAGGTTTTTATTTCCCTCAATCATTTTATAGGGATGGTAGATTCCTTTATTGTTTAGAGACTATTTTTCTTTATTTTAAAGATATGTATATATAAATATAAATACACACACACACACACACATATATGTATATATATGCCTGTGAGTGCAGTTGCCTTCAGAGGCCTGCAGAGGGAGCCAGATCTCTTGGAGTTGGAGTTACTGGAACTTGTGAGTCAATATGGGCGCTGGTGACTGAACTCTGGAGAGCAGCAAGTGCTCTTCACTGCTGAGCCATCACTCCAGCCCCAACACTATTTTTTCATTCAAACCTCTTTTCTGTTTTTTGAAAGGCCATACTAGACATATCCCAAACATTTCAACTTACCATATTTCTATTTTGTTTTCTTGCTGCTTTTATTGTGAAGGCTCCTGAAATGACAAACTAGACACAAACATATGCTGGTAAATACTCAGTGATAATGCTCAGTAATTTAATCATACTTTAAAACAACTATTTTTCAGGGCAAGATTTTCAGAATACTAATAGTAACAAAGAGAGAAATTTTAGTAGAAGGGGTTAGGACGAGCTTCCGTTATGAGATAATCATGTATTCAAAAGGTGACATATATTGAAAGTAACAGGAGGGTCACAACAGTCACAAGCACAGGACAGTGGGTAAGATTTAGGTTGTCATACAAAGCAATGGCCTCTTAAGTCTACCTGAGCCAGGGACCAAGTTTGGTTATGTGATACCTTTTATATAACCCATTTAGGTGTTACTCCAACTTCTTCTGTTTCTAGTAAAATATCACAGACTGTAATGACTGTGTATACATCCAGATTTGAAAAAGTGGCTCTTAAATCCATTAGACACCATGTCTGTAAAAAACACCCTCTTCATTGAGAGGCAATAGATACCATTAAGGCCACAGGATGCCCAGGCTTTCACTTTGTTTATTTATCTATTTATGTGTGCATACATGTATGGTGTATGTGTGTAGGATGCACGTGAGTGTGCAGATACTTAATCTAATTATACACGTGTCTTCTTTTATTGTTCCCCTTATTGCCTTGAAACAGGGTTTCTCAGGGAACTGGAAGTTTGCTGTTCCATCTAGGCTGGCTGACCACAAGTGCTTGGAATTTGGCTGTCTCCACCCTTGACAGCTGTTGTTACTGGTATGTGCAGCCATGCCTGGCTGTTTATGTGAGTGCTGGGGATTTGAACTCAGGTCTTCATGATTGTGTGCAGAACAAGTACTCTTATTCACTGAGTCATTTTCCCAGCTACCTTGCCTTTTATAAAAAGTATTTTAAAAGGCATTCCACTATTTCCTTTCAGGATTTCTATTTTCCAAGAAGTAAAAAGCACTGCTGTGTTATTTGAAAGCAGGCTACACAACTTCACTGAAATAGTCTTTGTTTGTTTTATTTTTAAGTTTTACTTATTTTTATTTGTGTGTATATATGTATATATATGCACGTGTGTGTGTGTGTGTGTGTGTGTGTGTGTGTGTGTGCTTGCAGTTCCTGCAGAAGGTGGTATCAGATCCCATGGGAACTGAAGTTGCAAGAAGTTGTGAATCCCCTGGCATGGATGCTGGGTACCAAACCTTAGTCCTCCACAAGAGTAGCAAGGGCTTTAAACTACTGAACCATCTTTCCAACCTTTGTCTTTTTTTTAAAGTGATTTTAGCAAAGGTTAATTTTTTTTTGAAAAATAGCAGTCACGTTCCATTCTTTTAAAAATTATATTAAAATTTTTTCATACAGTATATTTTGATCATAGTTTTTCTCCTCCCCCAAGTTCTCTATCCAACTTGATATTTTTTCTCTCTCAAAATAAACAAGCAAGCAAATAAACAAACAAAAACACTACCCCAAAACAAAGGACAAACAAAACAAAACACCAAAAGCACCACAGTAAAAGCACACAGAAAACATGGCAGAACTCAGGTGTCATGCTTGCACGGTAAACACTTTGCTGATTGAGCTGCCTCTCTAGTTGCTCTGAAGTTATTTTTATAGTATGAAATTAAACACAAAGGAACACAAATCATTTCTCCGAGTTTTGTCTGAAAATTCTAGTTTTTTCCTTATCTTTTTATTTTCTTCTTTCTTCCATGTGCTTTTCATTTATGAGCAAATGCACCTTTTATTATTGATGAGGCAGTGGGTTTCTTATCAATATGGCTTATTTGGATTTTGTCCCTGGACACCCTGAATCAGAGTGTGGATAAAGGCAGATGTCTTCAAGGTCACTGTTTCTTCTAGTGACCACTCCACCTCTTCTGTGAGAGCCAGCGGACCGTCTTTGTTCCAGTACAAGGACAATGGTTTTTTTCCCCCCATTGTGTATTTCCACCACTTTTCTTTTCTCTAGATTTGAGACAAGTGTTTCAGGTTCTGTCATCCAGCATCCCCGTGCTTGAGCTCACTGATTGACCACCTTGTCATTCATCCATTTCTAGATGATTTTAAGTTTTGACCCAAGTCTCCCCTAAATGATTTAATCTTTAATGATTTATGTGTGTGCATCCTTCTATTTACCCATGGTATATGATTCTTTGAATTTTCCCCTCAAATCCTTTACAAAAATTGCTTGATTTCCATACTCATCCTCTTGTCTTTGTTGGTCCTTTTAAATCTCAGGGTTGTGTATTCATTTTTTCCCACTACTTGCTGTAGGGGTACCCTCTGGCATTGAGCTCTAGCAATGCTTTCCCCACCCTATCTGTTCTCTCAGACCTTCTGCTCCCTACTGAATTCTCTTCATCACCAGCATCAGTTCTATGGTCAGCTATTACAAATACTCCTTGTATCCATTCTCAACTCCAGTGCACTTAAAAAAAAATCAAAATTGAATCTTTAACCCAAATCCTGATGAAAGGTAGTTTTGCTTCTGCTGCATTCCTGCATCCATGCAGATGAACATGGCTTGAATAAAGACTTATCTCACTATGCTGTCATGTTCCTAAACCTTGAGTCCTTAATGCTGTATAAAGATCAAATCAGTTTTCTGTAAGCCACATACTGTCTCCCTTTTCTCAGATGGCCATGTCACACACTCTCCTCTCTTCTAATGGCTGGTCCACATGTCTGTCCTCACTTTCAGCTCATATCTTTCTTTCTGATACAGTGAGATGCTTGAGGCTTTTGTAGGAACTCATCCACAAGCTTCCAAAATCAGATCAGAATCAGATCTGTTCTTTATTCTTTGTTACCCTCTTGCTGCCTTGCCTTAGCACTGTCTACATAAATGGCTGTAATTCTTTGCAAATGATGTTCTGTGCAGTATAGGATGCTCAGTAGCATCCTTGGCTTTCTTTCACTAGACGTAAAAATCCAGAGCCTCTTCAGATACTACCACATATTCTCTGAGGGGGTAAAATGAACACTAATTGACAACCGTTACTGAAGAACGTGACCATAGCTATTTGTTCACTAAAATTCATTATTTCTTTCTAACATTAATATATTATTGCAGTATTTCTCTTATTAGCTCATAACATTCATTGTTTTTTATCCTGGTTCCACCCCACACCAGCAAAAGACAATAGAAAAAAAGGACGTGAAGTTGAAAGGGAAATGTGTTGGGGGCTCCAAGAGGAGTTGGAGGGAGGGAGTCAGGTAGATAAAAGCAAAAGGCATTGTACACATGTATAGAATTATCAAAAAGTAAATTAAAATAGAATTTTTATAAATAAAAATTATTTTTTATAAATAAAAAAATGAAAACAAAAAATCTTCTCAGCTCTGATTCCATTTCCTCAAACCAAGTCCAATCAGGATTTCATGTCATCATTTTTACTGAAATTACTTGTCATGTTTATGACTGGCTACCATATTAATAAGCCCAGTAGTCAGTTTTCAACCTTCATCATTCTGACAAACCAACAGATGACAGAGCTGATCTTTCTTTATGTCTTGTGATGCATTCTTCCCTTGACTTCTAGGAATCCCCCACACTCTAAGTTTTCTTTCTGCCCAATGACTGTCTAGAAACCACACCAGAGTGCAGGTAATGGCAAACCTGAAAATTAATCATGATAATGGACGTGATGGTTAAAAGTCTGTCTTTGACATAGCTAAGGATATAGTCCACATTGTGGTTGTCATTTACTCTCGTATCCACATTTCTTTTATAGCACTTGTAGATTAAAGGTGCTCAATACAGACTTGTTGAAAGAAGGAATTGGATTTTGAATTAGTAAGTAAATGGCATTGAGTTATATGATTCTCCTGAAAATCTTGTTTAGAAGCTGGCCCTTACCGTCCACTAATATGAATCAATATTATTTACTGATTAATAAAATAAACACAAATGTATTTTACTCACAGCAATTCCCCATAAAGCAGTTCCCATTTTGTAAGTTAAAGGTTCATAAGTCCCAAATACTCCTTTAATTTGTCCCATATACAATACCAATAGGAAATACCACATGAGTACATGATAGATGCCAATCATAATCTGGATGACCTGTGAGAAGAGAGAGTTGTTAGTACTGAAATGATGTAATGGAAAACACAGTTTTAATAAACATTTAACACCTTTATAAAAGATGGAAGTAAGCAAGTCATGCATTAACTATGGAGTTGTCACTGGTTGTACCAGAAACAGGATCTATCCAGGAAGGACAAACCAAGGCTTGTGAAGAACTCTGTTGGTGTATGATGGACAAGCTAAAGTTTTCTTATTGAAAAATTATTCTTAATTAAGAGCTTGTCATTGGGTTCTAGGAGGTCTCACTTACACCATCCCACTCACTAACCAACCAACCAACCAACCATCCCATTCACCAACCAACCATCCTATTCACCAACTAACCAGCCAACCAACCAACCAACCAACCAACCAACCAACCAACCAACCAACCATCCAACCAACCAGATTGCAAAGAGTGGTATCATGTACATGAATCAGGGAAAGCAGATTAAGATATTTCACTCTATTCTCAGAGCAGTCTGTTACTACAGAGCTAAGAACTCCCATGCAGCAGCTTGGACAGCTGGTTTGCATTGTCTAAAAATTCAGAGGAAAAGCTGAAACCCGTGGAACAGTTTTCTCCCATTAGTTATGTAAGTGTGATTTTTCTAACTTCTTGATGTTTGTTAATAGGATTAGGTAAGCTTTAATCTCTCGGGTTTATAACTGAATAGAAGTGTGAGTTCTACTGGACAAACATGAGTGCAGTGATGAAAAGAGATCTATGGTAGATCTCTTTTAAACCAACAAACACATACACAATTTTAAATTTGATAGTTATTCATATTGCTGGATTTTCTTGGGTGTGGTAATTCAGTTGATGTGCTCTTATCTCAGCACACACTTGTTTATGAAGGGCTAGGAGACAAAGCAAAAGCTACAAAAGACAATCATCATGTTTTATTTTATTCAAATACATCCCTTTCTAGATACAAGGCCACCCTTTTAAAAACTGACGTAATTTAAAACATTGAATTTTAGTTAATCAGAGTAAAATCTTACTTCTGTGGTTTGAGTGTGAAGTGCTTCCCATAGGGTCACATGTAGAATGCTTGAGCCTGAGGGTGCTGTTTGGGAAGGTTATTGAATCTTTAAGAAGTTGAGTCTTGCTGGAGAAAGTTAGCTTTGTAGCCCAGCCCCACTTGCTGTTCACTCTCTGATTGTTGAATGCATATGCAACATGACCACCAAGTCCAAAGCCTTCTCTTCCCACCACCATGCCTCCCCTGCCTTCTGCCATTTCCTCCCCCCCATGATGGACTACATCCCTCAGGAACGATCTGCTGAAACAAAGCTCTTTGCATTCAGTTACTTTGAGGAAACTTTATATCAGTAATGAGAAAGTATTACTCACCCCTAAGACAATAGTATTTGCTACAGATATTTTTGATTCTCCACATCCCATACTTTCAGAATTTCCTCTGGTTGATTTTGTTTCTAACCTTCAGTGATATCTTTATTATCAGACTTCTACAAAAGAATACAAAACACATACACATGCTTTTTTCTCAGAGAAAACTCATACATCTGATTCTTAGTGTTTGACAACAATCTTCCCAAACTCAGAAGCCACAGTTTTTTTCTTTCTATATGTTTACTCCTCACATCCCTTAGTGCACATCCACCTCTTCTGAATAACAACCTCAGAATGAAAAAGTCTCTTTCTGTGACTAGGAAACGCTGATATTTTGCACATGTTATCTTTTACTACTTAACAGCATTTCTAGATGATAAAGAATAAAGGTCAACTAGAGAATAGTATTAGAAAATTTTCAGTAAAGCTTCAATGATTAATTTATATTTACAGTCAACTTAGTGCTAGACATACTTTGCATTTTCTTCTTTCAAAATTTATTTGAGAATTTCATATATGAGTATACTGTATTTTGTAATTTATATTTCTCCTTCCCCCAACTCCTCTTGTGTCTCCCGATGCCTTCTTGAATTCATGACCTTTCTTCTATAATTACTGGTGATATGTATATGTGCACATATACATACACATATGCACAAGTCAGTGACACAGGTCATGACACATGACTGACCATATAAATATTTGTCTTTGATCTTTTCTGAAAAAAGACAGTTTTGACAGAATGATGCTCCAGACTGGCAAAATGATGCTGCAAGTTCAAATCTAATGACTTGGTTGTTTTCATGAATCCTTAGCTTCTAAAATTTATTTTCTCAATGCCTATTAATGCAACAGGAGGGAAAGCATGTGTTTGAAATAAGCTGTATGCTTTCAGACACCATCTCCAAGAAGCAATCAAGAGTTGAGACTTAAAGGCAGCCGAGTTTAATTTCTCTACCATGCCTAGATAGCCACAGAACTACAAAACTTGGGTAGGGAAATAATGAAATGTCATATCAAGAATGATGTTAGTATCTGTTTTCAGAAAATAGAAACATAAGTCATTTTGTACGTATGGATAAGTTTATTCACATTTCTAGCATGTCGGCAAAAACAGAATGTGGTAAGCTGGGGAGTAAAACACTAACGTCTCTATAATATCAATGAGGTCCAGAGTAAAGTCATCCAAGTGAAGAGCTCATAAAAATGCTAATCAGAAAAAGTATGTGTGTATGTACTTTTAAAATGCTCAGTTTAGTTAGTTGTTGGAAGAAAAAAAAGTATATTCATGGAATTCTTTCTTTAAAAGAAAAACTACATTTGGCTGCTCTGCAACCCAATTAAAGATTCTAATTCTGTAAAAATAAACAAATAATCATTCATTCATTTTTATTTTCTGGTAATCCCATCACTAATCTAGAAGTAGGTAAAGGACAGACTCCTTAGTTGCTCTTCCTAGCCCGACTATCACATGTTAAAACTAGCACAGACATTCTGGAACAATTAGAGAGAGAGCATGTCTATCATTTATTCTTAGCATCCTTAGCAGAGATAAAACCCATTATTGTTTTCACATAAAACTAAAGTAATTGAAAGATGATTTTAAGAAGTAATTAATTTTTAATTTTGGGCAGTTTCACCAGCGTGTAGTGGGTTTTAGTCCTTCTCACCCCTATTATTCTGTCTTATCTCCCCACCTTCTTCTGCCCAAACTCCCTTCCTTCCTCACCAGTCTCTCTATTGCTTTCCCGTCTTTTCATGTGTCTGACCTGCTGCGTTACATAGGATTGCCTTCATGAACATGGATGGGAGGTCATTTCCTGGATCCTGGGTTACACCAATGAAAAAAGTGATACCCATTCCCTCAGCTGCCATTAATTGTCAGTAGTCCCTCAGGGTGAGGTGAAGCCTCCTGAGCCCTTCCCCCTCTCATGATGAAAAAGTTGATGGCTCCAATCTTGTGTTGGTTACCACATCTGTAGTGAGTTCATGGTGTGTTAACCATCTTATGTCTAGAGGATGATGTTTCATAGCCCCTCCCCCATTTTCTGGTTTTTAATATTCCTACCTCCTCTTCCATGATGTTCCTTGAGCCTTGGGGTATGTGTAAGAAAAACGATGTAAAACATTTAAAAATTTTTACTTTAAAAAATTGTGTGTCAGCACGAGCGTTTAGATGCCCATGAAAGAGGGCATTAGATCCCCTGGAGCTGCAGTTAAAGATAGTTGTGAGCTTCCTGATATGGGTGCGAGGAATTGAACTCTGGTCCTCTGCAAGAACAGCAATACTCATGACCACTGACCCATCTCACCAGCCTCAAAAATGTTTTTTTAATAAAAAGAGGAGAATTAAGTCTAGAATCTTCAGAGGACACATGAATTCCTTCAGGAACAGCTTCCTGCTCACCTTCCCCATCTCACATGGCCTTTCCAATTTTGCAGCCTAACAATTCTGGCAGTAACCTTTTCTGGAAAGTCTGCTGATATACAAATTAGCTAATACCCAGTTTGTTGTCTTAACACTTTCCCCGTAATGCCTGTCATGGTGTGTTCTAACTTTTGATTTTCAAGACCAGTTCAAATCACTTTGAGTCCCCAGAAATCAAGAAATTCATTTCCATATGTTCATGACCAGTCCTGCTTAATGTCATATGCATCCAGCTCCCTCCTTTTCCTCCCCCCTTTCCTGACTGATATTTTTAATGAGCATTTTACTTAAGGTGATTGGTGGATAATCTCAGTGTTATAATGATGTTATAAATGATATTTTACTTTCCATCTCACTTCATGGTACATCTATATACCAGGACTCAGTGCTAGATAAAATCTAGGATGAGTCGGTGAGAATGAATAGTTCCTGGGAGCTAATTGTGAGGCTGAGGCAGGTGAATTGCTCAGACCAGGAATTCAAGAGCAGTTTGGGCAACATCTTAGAATCTAAATAAAAATAAAGTTTTTTTTTTAAAGGTCAAAATGAGACGGCATAAAAGATGGACATGTGCTCACCCTCGTCTTTCCCCTTCACTCTCTTTTCTCCAGAGTCCATGTCCATTTTGACACTTAGCAAAAGTAAAGCGGGACACCATTACCTCACATTTCACTTGTCCCAAGTCCCAAGGATCCAGTTCACCCTATCAGGCCCAGGGTCAGGCTGAAGAGACAGATCACGGTGGATGGTGCTCTAGGCGCTAGACCTGGCTGCATAGCCATCAGAGGCAGCAGCGCAGTCTAGCGCTCAGCTGGTTGTCAAGCTCCTCAGGCCGCCCGGGTTGTCAAGGGCAACAGCCCTTCCACAGGGCGAAGGGATGGGAACTAGTGCGCAGACTCACTGGGGCCTACAGGCCATGCTGTGGGCCAACCCCTCAACCACCTTCTGGAGTCTCTCGTAATGGCTTTCCTGGACATGGATCCAAGACCGCCTCTTTAACGATATTTCTCCCAATATAGAACGGTTGCAGAGACCTGGTCCTTTACCACACACACTTCAGAAGGCCTCAACTTGTAAAAAGGCAAGTATCTGAGTTAATAGTTCACACCCCTTCCTTCTTCCTTCAAATGTAAATGGCTAAAGAAATTAATGAAGAGACTATTTAGGAAGTGTCCAAAAGGACTTTTTTGACCTACCTGCTGGAGA